TGTTACAGCCAACTTCCTGTTGAGTCATTTCAACATGAAACTGTGATTGAAGTGAAATGTGTTCCAGCATCTGGTGGGTGATTAGAACTGTTCTTTCATTTTCATTTTCAAATTGTCAAATAAATATTAAATCCCTCTTAGAGACCAGATGAGAAAAACCCCTGCTCTGCCCAGACTGGTCTGAGCTGAAGTCAAAGCCTCCACAAACAACAGCGTTGGCTGTTGAGGTGGTTTTTTAAGCTCAAGTTGCTGAAGTGAAACATAAATTCACTCTGTGTAAATGACCCTGTACTGGAGCAACAACTAGTGGAAGTGAATGTCACTTTGCTCATGTGTTAACGCCAGGTATCGTTGAAAGTGCAAAAACACACATCTTGAATATTCCCTCCTTCACTGGAGCAGAATGTCATTTTATTGGGTTCCTAGTGGGGTCGTGTTCCTGTTGCCTGGAAAGTTGGATGAACATTTGTTCAGTCATTTCAATTTACTTTCCTATAAACTCACACAGACATGGTGGAGGTGATAACTGTGGAGGATTAGTTTGGTCATGCAGAGTTCAGTGCACAGGTTCAACTCAACAGCGAATGTCGCCACACTACGATGCGTCGCTGCAGTATCCTGCCCTGTTTAACCCTTATTACATGGACGGTTATTCCCCCCCGGGGCAACAGACATGTGTGCTTTACTTCCTTCAATTGAAACAGTTGCTTTATTTTCAATTTATTGCAATTCCATTTGGACAACACTTTCAGATATGAACTGCTGGACCTCTGGAGTTTTATTTTTTTGCTTCAGTTTCTCTCAGTTTGAAACATTGCATGATAAATTGTTGCTCAAGGGCATTTTCTGCTCTGGACGGTTATTGTCTTTTCTGAGAGGTTTGTTTTTAATCTGTTTTTTTGTTTTCTTTTTTTCCCCCTGTTCCCTGCATTCGTGCACGCTTGCTCCACCCCTGTAATGTTATTTGTCAGACATTGTAATCAAATGAAAGGTAAGTACTCTCCAACAAACAACAATAATTGTTAGTGGTCCTTGCATGGAGCCAGCCAACGTGCACTCGAACACAGCACATTTCTTTATTGTTTTGTCTGGACGTACAGGGAATCGTCGTCGTTTTGTTTTCGTTGGTCTTTTTCAACATATCCTGACCAAGAAAACAATTTAACAAACAAATATATGAAAAACTATCATTTGATTTGAATTAAAAATGGCCTCATATTGTCAAAATATTAGGATTTTGGGGTAAAGTCAAAATAATCAGGTTAAGATTTGCATTTGTTCAAAAGCCGGGAAAAAAGAGAGGGGAAAAAAAATTTAGTAAAAGAAAAATCATAATCAAGAAGAAAACTAAAAATTACAAAATTACAGTGTGTCATGAAGAGACTCTTCATTATTTAGATCAGAGCTGCAGCCGTTTAGCCTTTCAGGATTAGAAGTCATATTAACTGTGTAGCGCCTTTGGATCTAATGTACATCATGGATATGAGAAGTTCCTGGGACACAGATATGTGAAACAAAGACTCCCTTCATATTGGACATGTTCACAGGCAGAAATAAAAGTAAGAAACGTCAGAGGAAACTGACCGAAACCTTGTAGGAAGTCCTCTGGCGGCGCCAGCGTGATTCTCAGCCATCGTGTCACCTCTTAAATCAGATGTGCAGCGACGTTGCTAAAAGCTCCAGGTTATTTCTTGGAACTGGAAGCTGGGAGGGTTTAGAAACACATGTTCCAGCGGGGGCTTGGTTGACCTGGACGAGCAGAGCAGTTCACAGCTGCACTGGAAACATAATACAAAATAAACGGAAAAAATGTCAAAATTTACACGACCAATTAACCTCATACTTCCTGTCTTATTTACTTTATTACTTTAATTCTGTATTCAAAAAAAGGCTGTCTGTGGTGTCAAAGAAACATACTGTGTTGTTTGAGACAAAACTTTACTCAGGGTTGGTCTGGTCAACCTCCCAGGCTTCCCAGTTGTTCGTTATTTCCCGGAATCCATGTTCATGGTCGAGAACGCTTCAGCTTTGGTTTTTTTGTTGTTGTTTCTGTTGACAAACAAAGACGACATTATTATAAAGTGTTAGTTGGTTTTTCATTAAAGGTGAGACAGTTTCAGCTGCTCGGCTTTAGGTGAGGAATTCTTCTTCTTCTTCAGTTCTTGTAGTCAGTGACAGTAAAGGTGTGGTCTGTGCTCATGGCAACTAATAAATGAACTTGTATTCAAATCAATTCAACCTCTAAACATTTAGTTCACTCACTTTTGGCATCAAGGTTTAACCTTCTCTAATGCACTGAAAAGAGCTGTATGTTGCAAGGTATTAAAAAAAAAGAAAAAACACCACCCTACTATCTGACAAATGCTGACACGAAGTGGGTCAGGGGTCATGGTGGGTTGAGTAACAGTGTTTTTTTTTTCTCCAACTAATTTTGGCTTTTTCTCTCTCTCCTTTTTGTCTCTCCCTCCTGCTGTCTGGTTAATAATTGCTGCTACTCTGTGCTTAGTTGCATAAGGCGTCACGCAGGAGGATAAGGGGCAAGAGAGAGAGAGAGAGAGAGGATGAGGGAGAACTGGGGCGGGGGAGAGAGAGAGAGAGAGAGAGAAGAAGGGGAAACCCTTGGAAAACACGCTCTAAGCATGTGACATGTGCACTGCCACACGAGTGTCAGTCTCTGGTCCGCGTCCGTGCTCGTGAGAACACGATGGGTTCACTGACCGCGGTCGGCTCCTCTTCTACGGTAAGACCTAACGTATCAGCTGTAGTTGTAGTTTGGTTTAGAGAGAGCCTGAAGTTCACTCAAGTTCACTGGACGTGGTTTAGACCTTGTTTTTGTTCACGTTCTGTGAAGCAGAACTGCAGCTGTACATGGAGACGTGGTTTGGCTTAAATCGGACTTATAAATGAGCCGTAGCCTGTTGTTTGTTGCTGCGAAGGGCGGCCCCGACTGACAGTGGTGTGTGTCTGTATCTGGAAGTCCACGGTGCAGGAAACTCAGTGATGTGGTCTCAGCTGGACTGGTCCTGAACTGATGTCAGACTTGACAAGAGTATCTTGGATCCCGTAGGCGCCCGAGGCAATCAGCCAGTGTGTACTGCAGCTAATGGTAACTGCATCCTGTGGTCATTATGTTGAACAGGCCATTAGGAAAATATGGGCCTTTGTTTTAGATATGATCTAGAGTCTGTCTTGTAGAGTTGTGTAGAGCAGGGACAGCACACAGACTGAGGCAGAAACCTCCTGGAGGTCTGTTGACTTGTCCATTCAAGACACAACAACAAAAATCAACAATCAACCTTTCACTGATCTGACAAACAAATGCTTCAGCCAGTAAACAAAAGAAATCACAGCCTCTTTCTCCACCTCTTCCTCCTCCCCGCTACGAGACTGGAACAGAATGGAATTTGAAACGTTTTAGCCAAAAATGTATCCATGGTCAAGGTGTTTTTTGCAGAAACGTTTCAGATTTCGTTCCGTTCTCCGGCTTCAAACGAACCTGCAGCGGGAGATCGTGCAGCGTCGGTCGATGCGCAGGTGAGTGACCCTCAGCTCACACCGATACACACTCAGCCCAACACCGGCGGGATGTGAGCTGCAGGTGGAGAGCAGCCAACACTGAGTCAGTGAGCGAGTGCAGCTGTTTGACTGATGAGACCAACAGCATTTCCTGCAGGTTTAGGCACTCTGGACTATTATTATCCAGACTGGTCTTCTCTAAGGACTTGGTCGGAGGCCAAAGAGGAGCAGGGCTGCACAGATTAATCCATTACTGTCATCTTTTTTAATATCCTTTTTGTGTCTCTTTGATTGAATAGGTATTATTCCAATTTCAGATTCTTAAAGTTGAACGGTGGGCGAGTACTCTCAAAAGTACTTCATGGATCACATACTTCAACTAAATGCAAGAATAACTGTCTGGTTCACCGAGTGTGAAAACAAACACCGAGTCCTTGTGTTTATTGTAAATCGAATGGCAATGTTTTGTCATCTTTGAAAAGTGTATAAAAGGTTTTGGAAACACGGATCGAGGCTGTGTTTTGATTGGCCGTCCATTCTGCTGCGGTGTTCACCTTCACATCTCCTCTCTGTGTGAATAAATGTGCAGAATGGAAAATGATCTGCTCAGTCTCAGCAGACGACGACGTCTCGGTTGCACCTATTTTAACCGGCCATTTTTTCAAGGGTTTCGGTCACACTGAAGTTTTTCACTCATTCTTCATGAGCTCAGATCTTGGTGTAATTGAAGCTGTGATTGATACGACCCAGGCTCTTCCTGTTGTTAGCCCACTCTTCCTGGCTCTTCCTGGCACAGATGAGAAGTAATCCTGTCTCCACTGAGCTTCACTAAAGTGTGTGTCTTTGTGTCACTCAGGCAGTGGGTTGTGTGTAGATAAGCCCACCTTATGAGGTGAAAACTCCTCGCCGTCCTTCACGATTTCCACCCAGCACCGACAGCAGGATAAAGGGATGTCACGGCTGTTCCTTCTTCTGGCAATGGTCCTCGTCTCCTGCAGCGTCCAGGTGGGTCCTGAGGAAATGTCCAAGCTGAAACTGTCCAGAGAGTCAAACTGTCCAAGCCCAAACAGACTGTTCCATTACACAATGAATCACTCATTTCAGGCTACAGCACACACCCTCCCCCTCCCCCCCCCACCCCACCCCATACTGACTGTTAGATGATTGACCGTGTTCCCAGCTTGTTGATAGGTTGTTTACGGCACCTGTGAAGTGAAACTAGTGGATACCATTTAGGGTTTTGTCTTTGGGACATTTGTTGAGCCTCACATAGTTGACATTGTTCTGGTCCACATGTTACACACGCCACACCAACTGTAGAACTAATGGACGGTTAATTTATTATGTTGATTTAAGTCACCACTGTTTTTAAAGTAAGTCTTTGGTAGAGGACAGAGTGAGGGTGACAGAGAGAACAAGTGAGAGAATATCCGTTAAAAAAAGGAGAAGAACCGAATTATGATGATGAACTTCCAACTCACCCCTGGTGGTCAATTAGGGTTAGGATTTCCTTTTGCCTTTATAGTCTAGATAGATAGATTTTTATTAATCCCTTTAAGAAATTTAGAAATGCTCAGAAATACATGTACAAATGCAGGGTGGGAGAGTGTGATCTGTGTCTGAAAGCTTGTTGACATTGAACTTGCTCTACTGTCTCTTCAGGTGTCTCCTGCTGCTACCCTGGACAAGCTGAAGGAGAGTCTGAGGCTGTACATGGAGGAGTGTGAACTGAACAACAGCCGCGACGCACTGAGCACCGGTGAGCTAAAGATTCTGATGTAAATCATTGACGACAGTGGTCCATATTCCTGTCAGGGCTTAAAATACACATGATGACAGGGTGTGACAGGGCAGGTGAGGGTTAGTCATGATTAGTCATGTTTGGAGTTCTCTTCATTAAAATAATTGTCTTTCCTAAATATGTGAAGAAATGTGAAAAAATACAGAACATCTGCACTAAAACTGGATGTTTCTTTGTTATAGTGTTGGTGAACTTCAGTCACTACTGTGTGTCTGTTCTGTGATTTGTAGAATGTGTCGAGAGTTGCTTTCAAGAGTGGGAGAAACTGTAGTACGGAGAAAAAACCTGCATAAACAGAGATAGAACACACAGAATGTAGCTAACAGATACAACTGAGGGTCTATCCAGTCATCGTCTGCTGTTAGGCAGGAGTCTGAACCCTCCCTGCACCTCGTTGCCCCATCAAAGACACTATAAAATCTGGTCTTAGTATAGTCCCAAGTGAATCTGATTGATATAACATGGAGAGGAATCCGAGTTTTGCCCTGTAGAGGAGACAGATCTCATTAATATCTGCACCGGTCCCACCAACTGATCACTTTACTCTTCCACTCTCTCACGCCCCCTCCCTGTCACCACGTAAGCATCCCAGTTAATAATCAGGTGCAGACGAGACGGCATCAGCCCCTCCCCCACCCCCGTTCACCAGCATCCTTTACATCCCTCACAGAGAACATGAAAGGTGTTCTGTAATCTAAAGGTCCTACATAAAGGAAAAAAGATGGACTAATGATTGGCAGCAGCCATCACTTCAAAGAAGTACACATGAGAGAAAAACTCCTCTTACTTTTCATGTTTTTCTTTTTTTGAACCCATCAGACCTGGTGTGCAACAGGACGTTTGACAACTACGCCTGCTGGCCCGATGGAATTCCAAACTCCACAGTCAGTGTTCCATGTCCATGGTATCTGCCGTGGCACCATGAAGGTAGCATGACACATGACGTGTTGAATGTAAACATGGCCTGAAAAGATTAAAGGTCACTAAATATATATATACATACATACAGCTGAGGATGACAGCTGTCCAATACCCATATATTTTCCATTGAAGTGTGTCTTTGTCTTTCAATCCCTTTGTGTGTGTGTGGTGTGTTTTGGAAACACGCCTGCATGTGTGTAGGTCTATGAGGAAGTGAAGCTCAGTTTTCTCAGTGGAATTTAATGATATAAAACATTAACGATTTATGTAGTGTAGTGTAGTGCAGCATATATTTTTAATTCATTTATAACAGCTCTAAATGGGTGAGACTGGATTTAGAAATACATTGATAAGTATTTAGGAGCAATGCATTTTATATGGTCTCTGGTTTGTATTGAGAAATTTATTCAGTTTTCAAAACAAACCTTTAGTTTTTATATCACGACATAAACAGTTTAAATTTCAATGCCAGTATAAAACACTTATTTATCATTTTTATATCGCAATAAACAACCCCAAATACTCCATGTACGTCTTTGTCACTTATATATGACATACTTCAAACGTACATTCAAAACAACTTAATGTTACATCATTTGTTTTTATTTCACCTATTTTTATTAAACATTTTTAATATGATACTAAATCTTGAATTGACGGCGAGACCATCCATAGGAGTCATGATGCAGTTAAAGCAGTGGGAATCACACTTTCACACGTTTATTTTTTTATGCAGTATTTGGAATTAAAGTGGGCATTATTAAACCCCCTGGTGGTTGATAATGACCAATTAATCCTCAAACGGGCCTGTGTTTGTGTTTACAGTTCAGCATGGAAGGGTCTATCAGGAATGTGACGCTAACGGCCTGTGGATGACATCAAAAAATACCAGTGAGTGTGACTCCAACAATCCAAGTCAGGTAAGAACCACTCATCAATCACTGTTCAAAATGGACAGAACACACCCTAATATTATTATATATTTTTAAAAATGAAGTATATTTTCTGTCCAATTATGCAGCAGTACTACGGCCATATTCGAATCATGTACACAGTGGGCTACTCCTTATCACTGGTGGCGTTGGTATTGGCTCTTGGCATCCTCATATTCTTCAGGTATGAACTCTCAGCTACTCTGTGAGTACACATCACTTAAAACCCATTTATAGAAACACAGTGAATTCTCAAAATTACAGTTCCAGTTGACTCCACAGTGGAGTCAGCATTAAACAAAGCATGAAGTGTAAATAATGTGACAGTGGTGGAGTCAAAG